CCCCAAAACCCCAAAACCCCACTACTATTAATATTTAAACAAATTTGAGAAATTATATACATATTTTTATAAACCACTAAAATAAAAAATGTTGAAATCTCAAATGCCTATGTTAAAACTTATTTAAAAAATGAATTTACCAACATTAAATGCTAACAGGCAGAGCTATGTCCTCAAAATATTAGAAAATTTTGATTAAGAACATATCAATAATCCTTCTAGAAATATTCCATTGGATCTATATTTGAGATACTTCTTTTTGAATGAAAAGCAAAAAGTAGACAGTTTAGACCGTGAAGCTATTGTAGAGTATGTTTATTAGTTGATGATATACAAGGGATATCTAAATGCAATTTGCAGAAAACCTATGAGTTGGCAAACTAGATTTAGGGCATTTATGGGGCCTGATTTTGAAGAACAATTTAAAAATGACAATCTACCTCTGTAATTTATCTATTCTTAAAAATTAATTTAGTCATGTGAGATTGAGCTTTCCAAAAGACTTGTTTGATGAAATCCTGAAGGCTCATGGTCCAAAGCATGCAGAGGAAATATGCTCTGTTTAGGATGAAAGAGGAGTCTTAACTGTTAGGACAAATACAATTAAAACAACCAGAACCGATGTAAACAATTGTATATTAATATTACATTAGTTAATGCATGCTTTCAAATAGAATGGATGGAAAGTATAGCCAACTGAATTTGCACCAAATGGCATAAAATTTATTTAGAAACCTCATGGAAATTTTTTCTAAATGAAAGAATATAAGTATGGGCATTTCGAAGTGTAGGATGAGGCTTCATAGCTATTATCTATGAGAGTAGATGCCAAGCCTGGAGATATTGTATTAGATTATTGTGGAGGATCAGGAGGAAAAACTCTTGGATTTGCTCCATTTATGCACAATAAAGGTTAAATTTACATTCATGACATTAGGAAAAGTGTTTTGATATAAGCAAAATAAAGACTTAAGAGAGCAGGTGTTTAGAATTGTTAGGTGCATCATGATAAGCAAAAGTTAAAGGAAATTCTAAAAGGTAAGTGTGATTGGGTGATGCTAGATGTTCCATGTACAGGAACAGGAGTAATGAGAAGAAATCCTGATATGAAATGGAAATTTAGTGTTGAAAAAATGAGAGAAGTTATTAAAGTACAGGAGTTGCTTTTGAATGAGAGTTTGACATTTTTAAATAAGAAGGGTGGTAAGATAGTATATTGTACTTGCAGTGTATTGCCTGAAGAGAATTTACTTCAGGTAATGAAATTTTGTGATAAACATGGATTTGAAATTGAAAATGGGTCTCACTTTACAACATTCCCAAAAAGCAGGGGAATGGATGGTTTTTTCTCTGCTACTTTAGTCCCTAAGTGACTACTTAATTAATTAAATCTTCAATTTTCTTATCTAGTGATATTATCAAGGAATGGGGTTTTGGGGTTTTGGGGTTTTGGGG